CCGCCCCCCCCCCCCCCCCCCCGCTACATTTACTTACCTTCCTTTTCTCTCCTCTGTTGCTCCATTCAGCTCCAGGGAGTGAAAGAAAAGCCATGTATAATCTCTGAGCTGCTGGAGTCAAAGCTTACATAGGGCTAAAGACTTCACTGTGATAGCGTTGATAGGCCCTTCTCTGTAATATGACTCAGTCACAGGCCCTGCCATACACGGAAGTATAAGATATGTCCTTCAGGTCCTGGTGCTGAGAGGAGCAGCGGAGGATCAGAGTAGAGGTCGGTATATATGGCTGTGGATGGAGAGGATTTAAAGTAGTATTAAACGCTGAAACTTTTTTTATCAAAAAAGATTAAACATAGATACATTGACCAGAAAATTATTTCTTTAGATTTTTGCCCAAGCCCTTACAGTCATCATGTTTCCAAACAGATGACTCCAGCTCTCTCAGCTCAGCTCCCCTGAACTTCCTGTCCAGTACATGATCGCAAGGGACAGAGCAAACTCTAGCAGATGTCCATCAACTAGACAACTTGGAAAAGTGAGGAAATAGGAGAGGGGAGGAGGGGTGTGGCTTGCCTTGGCTGTGCACACACAAGGGTGGCTCCATGGGAACCTGCAAGGGAACAGAGCCATGCTAAAACAGGATATCAGGACCAGTGCTCAGGGGATCAACTGATTCTGGAGGAAGATAACGCTTTTAAACATCAAGGAGCAGCATTCACTGTAGGTGATTTAAACAGCATTCAAAATAGCTTAAAAACGTTTGGCTTTAAAGTGACATTAAAGTCAAAAGGTTTTCAAGCTTTTTCTAATGCTGATCCTAATCTGTAAATTAGGGCTTCAGACTTTTTTTTAAAAGTACTGATCCTCAAGCTTGTTTTGGGTCACTGATCTGGGTTAATCTCAGTATTCTACTTTCAAGCTGAAAATTCTGACTTTTAAACTCAGAATTCTGACTTTCAAACTCAGAATCCTGAGATTAACACTTCAAATTCTTAGTATGAAAGTTAGAATATTTACTTTCAATCTCAGAATTATGAGTTTCAAACTCAGAATTCTGACTTTCAAACCCAGAGTTCTGACATGTATTGCACCTGAAAGAAAGAAATTCACTTTGAATTCTTCCCTGGACTCAGAAGTCAGCATGGTAGTGACAGAGACATGTGGACTGCTATGAGCTGTTGAGCTGTATACACTTACCAGCAATATAAGGGCCTCTGAATTGTCCTTGTAGCAAGCAGTCATAATTGGTGTGTTCCCAAGGTCACCTTCCAGATTATTATTTGTAGTGCTATGATTCAGTAATTCCTAAGAAAAAAATGTAACATTGCAGTAAAACATGCAAATAGCACAACATGAATATGACTGAAATACAATAAAGTTTTCAATGGATAACAATTTTGGATCGGTATGCATCACGCTATTAGTATTAGCATTCTGTTGCTAAGAATTCAAGTAGTGCCCAATAGCTTTTAGATTTGAATTCAAGTAAAACTCAAATTCTACCCAGTACAGTTTTGTGGGTTTTTGTAACCTTTTTATCCTGTTTTGGAATATTTTGATATATCTTAAAAAACATCAAATAACAATAAAGGACACCAACAACAAAACCCCGAAAACCTAGAGTGTCCTCTCTCTTTACATTTTTCAAGGTGCTATTTTCAGCCCAACAAACCACATCCAAAACACACAAAAGAACAGGGGGGGGGGGGGTCCCCTTAAGATTT